TGTCTGTGGCAGCCCCTTGGCGCAGTAGGCAGCTCTTCCCTGCCCACAGCGCAAATCCCCCTGCTCAATGCCGATGCCGATGCCGGGGCAGGAAGAGGAAGTGGCCGGGTCAGGCCTGGTGATGGGTCCTGGGGCTCAGGAGGGGAAGCTTGGCGGGGGAGGAGGCAAAGCTCACTCCCTCTGCCCACCCCGCCCCCCCCCCCACCCCCGGGAAGGGTGTGGAGGCCCATGGGTGGGGATGGTCTTGGTGAAAGTAGGACAAGTTCCTGCCCTTTGCTCAGCAGGGGCGGGGGCCAGCCTGACTGTGTGTGTGGGGGGGGTGCAGTGTGGGAAAGGGGCAGTGCAGTTCCACTTCCTCCATCTCCTATTCACCCACCGTCTTGACTGGGGGATGATGGTGCACTCTGGCTGCCCATTTGGGGCCTGCCCTGGGCTACGTACTGTTTGAGGATGCCTACTGCCAAGGTAGGGGAGACAGGGCCTTGCTTTCGTGTTTACATATTGGTTGCCGGGAGGGATGGTCTGAGCACATAAGTCCATGGGCCGCAAAGGATTTGACGAGCAGGGATCAGGGCCTAGCTGAGCGATTCAGAAAACACACTGAGAGAGACCTTTCTCGTGCTAGATACTGCAGGCTCTCCTAACCATAGCTATGCTGAGTCTGTGTTGATAGAACAAATACATGAGAAACACCCTGCGTTTCTCTGTGATTTCAGTAAATGCCAGCGGCATCTGCATCCATTTGAATTGGTATATCTCTCCCATTTAGACATGATTATTTGGGCTTCCCTGGTGGATCAGACGGCGACGCAGGAGACCTGGGTTTCATCCCTGGGTTGGGAAGATCCCGTGGAGGAGGGCATGGCAACCCACTCCAGTATTCTCACCTGGAGAATTCTATGGACAGAGGAGCCTGGCAGGCTACAGTCCATGGGGTCACAAAGAGTCGGACACGACTGTGCACATTTTGTAAATAAACATTTTATTTCTGAGAGTATAAATACATACACAAAAGCATATAAGCCATAGATGTGAAATCTTGAGAGTGTATAGTTTGATGACTTTTTCATAGTGAAGACACCCAAGGGACCATCGTTCAGACTAGGAACTGGGATGCTTCCAGTTCCCACAGAGATTTCCTTGTAGGCATTGCTGTTGTCAATTTACAGGCCATGTGTGTACCTGGCTCTGTGGTTAGACTTATGAGACTCATGTCTCACAGGGTCAGAAGCCACAGCTCTGGAGTTCAGAGGGCAGTGGGTCCAGCATAGAGCTGGGAGTTAGCAGGGGTCAGGGGTGGGGTTCTGATTCCTGGCCCCTAAGCCTCCATCTCCTCATTTATAAAATGCAGATGGTAATTCCAAACATAGAAGGTTAGGGAGAGGGTGAAATGGAAGAATCCATGCAGTGTCCTAAGCTGAGGTCTGACCCTTCATTGGTATTCCCTACTCCTCACACCCCCAAATCTTCCGGTGAGAAGGTACTTATTATTATGAGTCAGGCTGGTCCAGGAGTGGGGCATGAGCTGAAGTCTTAGAAGGTCGGTGGGATTAGAGTAGAAGGAAGAGGAACAATGTGCCCAGTGGGTGGTGGGAAGGTTTAAGCCCAAGGTCTTTGTACTGGGGCAGTGGGGAGCCCGGTGGTGGTGACAGAACTTGGGCTGTGCTGTGGGAGTCTGCCCTTGGGCAGCTCTCTCTCGTCTCCAGCATGGCATCTTTCCCTGCCCTTCCTGTGTTATCCTGGCCCTGCCTTACTTTCTGGTCCTCACCTCAAAGTTTTGGTTACCTCTCATCCTGTGGTTATTACTTGTCCCTTTCCACCGCTTATCTCCCCTACAATGAGCTGTTCACTCTGACCTTGCTTATCTTAAGGGCTGGACTTAGTGAGGTCCCTTGGAGTCTCCATCTGCCCTTGGACCAGCTTATGCTCCAGGCCTCCCAAAGTTTGCATCTGTTATGCCTTTCCACCTTAGTTGGGTTCTACTAAGATTCTCTGGATTCAGAGCCCAAGGCCACCCTCCCTGGAGGCCATCTGGCCGGCAGGGATGAAGCTCAAGGTCCCCCAGTCCCTCTCCCCTCTGTCTTAGGCTAGATGCTCCTGGCTGTGTTCCTACAGAGGGACTCTGCCCTTTTCTCCTTGCTTATTTTCAGAGTGTAATGTGTTCTGAGATGCCAGCATCCCCCGCCCCCTCAAGCATGGCCGGGTGGAAGCTCTTCTTGCCTCTCCCACCCTCTGCCTTCGGGACAGCAAGACTACTGCCTCCAAACCTGCCATCTCCCACCCAGGTGGGGCCTGGGCTGCCGGCACAGCTCTGGAGGCTAAATGCTGAGATGTGGAGATGGAGGCTGGGAACCTGGACCGCTCCTTACCACACTTGAGTTCCCTGAGGCTCCTGGGGGGACTTTCCCATGGGAGGGTAGGGATGGTCTGTGTTGCTTTTTACAAATGGAAAGTGGTGGGGTGAATAGGAGGTGCTAGGGCTCAAGGCTGCTGACTCGGCTCTTTGAAAGCCGTTAAGGCTGCAGCTAATACACCTGTTTTTGTTTTGTTTTTTTGCTGGTGAGGTTTGGAGGGAAGAACATTGACCTGACTAATCAACTTTTGCTACCATACTAGAATTGTTTTATTTTCTGAGGAAGGCCCTGCTGGGGTGGGTGGGGAGGGGGGCTAGGTGGGGAAACCAGCCTGTGACATGACTGGATTAGTTTCACCAGCCCAGACTTGCTTGTGCTTCTGAGCAAGATGCAGCTCTTCTGGGCACCCTTGGGTCCTAATCTGCAAAATGGGAAGACATGAATTATATTAGTGATTTCAAAGCAGGTTTAAACTGTGGAATTCGTGTTTTTCCCAAGTAACATCTTAATGCAAAAGCCTAAGACAAAGAAAAACAAAACTTTGGTTAAAGATCATCCTACCCACACTTCACCTTCATGAAGGTGGCCTTGAAGGGTCTTTGGAAGACGGTTTAGCAAAGGCCAGAGCTCTCCAAAGACTGGTCCGTGTTGAGAGCATATGCTGCGATGGGGGAGCTGTGCTAGGTTCTGACTGAAAGATACTGATGTTACTGCATGGAGCCTGCTCTGTCCGTTGTGGATTGTAGGGTTTGAAGAGACAAACGGTGAAGGGGCGGTTTCTTAGTGGGTGTGGGCAGGGAGAAGGGCAAGTCACTGGCTTCGCTCAGATGGTCTGCTGCCTTCAGGCGCCAGTGAGGCACGGGCCATGGCTGCGATAGGAATAGAGGATCCAAGATTTTGGATTTTGGATCCAAATCCAAAATATGATTTCAGAAGAAAATGAAAAGTAGCGTGTGAGGTTTCAAAAGCAGAGATGGGAGGTGGGCAAGGAGTGCAGAGACAGCAGATGGTAGAGAATGGGTGATGTTTTTGAAGTGCCAGTGGGACCTTTGAGTGGGCAGAACTGAGGGCTGGAGAGCAGGCTGTGGGAAACCTGAGAGGGAGGTGAGAATGAAGTGAGGAGCAGGAAGCGCCTCAAGGGTAGAGGGAAGTGCTGTTGGGTGACTGGGGGAAGCGAGAGTGGCGTCCTTGGTCACAGGCTCCGTGTGGACAGGGGGAGGGGAGGGGCTCTCCTAAATATCAGCCTTTTTTCCTTCCTGTCTCATCGAAGTTGCTGGCTCTCCAGACTTGGGGCACCCCAGGGACGTGAGGGGTGACAGCCCCATCTAGGGAGGGCTGCAGGTGGCTGCAGCCTGGCCTGTGCCCTGGTGCACGTGAAAGACCCACTGCAGGTGCTGGAGGTGAGGTGGGAGGGAGGGCTCATGGGCAGAGGAGGGGGTGAAGGGATCCCCTAGAGATGTAGTCAGGCTCCACCCGTGTGCCACCACCTTGCTCTGTGACCTTGAGCAAGTGTCATTATTCCTCTGAGCCCGTTTATTTATAAAATGGGGAAGAGTCGGCACAAATTCGATAAGATTTCTCAGGCTCCACCCGGTTCTGAAATTCGGTAATTTCCCAATTAAGAGTGCTCTCACCCTGTCAGGGGCCGGGGAGGATAGTGGTGAGAAATCTAGTTCAGCTGTGAAGCACAGCTTTGGCATGTCTCCGGCCTGGCGAATCCCTGCCCTCTAGAAGATACTTTGCATAAGAAATTGGGGGGAGGGAGTAGGGAGTAAGGGTGTGTCTGTGTGGTGGTGGGGTACTGTGGTGTCTGACGTCCCTAGAAGGGAGTGTGTCTGTGTGGTGGGTACTGTGGTGTCTGCCGTCCCTGGCCAAACTCTCAGAACGAGACCCTGCTGGTTCCCCGGGGGGAGGGGGTCCCTGAGTTGCCCAGCCCAAGGCCTGCCCGGCCGCCCAGCCGGGCAGTGGCACCCCAAGCCAGCAGGGAAGGCTGGGGAAGGTGCAGAGGCGGAGCCAGGCGCAGTCGTGGCTCCCAGGAGCACCCGGAGGGTTAGGATATCCTCGTCCGGGGAAGCCCCGCGGCCTCGGAGCTAGAGCGCCCTCTTCTCGGGTTCTGGACCTCGGGCCTATTTTCTGCCCCGGGGGGCCGGGGTCTTGGGGCCGGCCAGCGGAGCCTTGCGAGTCCGCGAGCTGCTATTTTTAGCCGGCGCGGCGGGCGCGAGGGGACTATTTATAGATCAAACAATCCGCGCTCCCTGCGTCAATGGAACCCCGCGTGCGTCACGCGCGCAGACATTCCAGGCCCCCCCTCTCGCCCCGCCCCCTCGGGCTCCCCGGCCCCGCGCCTCCCCCTGGCCGCCTCCCGCCGGAACCGCGCCGCCCCCCGCGCCCTTGTATGGCCAAAGCTCGCCGGGCCGCGTGCGTCAGTGGCGCCCCCGCCCCTCCCCGTGCGTCACGGAGCGCTTAAGAGCAGGGTCCGGCGCGGCCGGGAGTCCCAGTGGTGGAGGCTGCGAAAGTTGGGGGGAGTGTGCAAGACCTCGGGAGCGCAAGCGGGACCAGGCTGCGACTTGGGGCGCCGGTCCCCGGCAGGGGGAGCAGAAGCCAGCCGGGTAGGTGCCCCCTGGAAAGCGTGCATCTCAGCGGGGTTCTCCGTTTTGGTTTTGTGGCGGGGAGGAAGGAGGGGGGTGTTGCCGGGAGATGAGTGTTGCGAGGATCGAAAGAATGTTTTGGGGTTAGCATGATGGAGGGCGAGTATAGGATGCAACTCTGGCTTGGGGGTTAGGGGTTGGAACGGGGTGAAGACCCAGATGGGACTGGAGTCTACTGGGTGCTGTGTATGTGTTTTGGGAGGCGGGGGTCTGTGCAAGGTGGAAGCCTCAGAGTTCATTAGGAGGCTGGCTAGAGTTCAGTCTCCCAGGGTCCCTTAGTTGGCACAGGGCACCCAGGACTTAGTTGCTGATGGGGGTCTCAGTACAGTGTGGGGAAAGGGGCACAGAGTTTTGGGCTGCTGGGATCTGACTCCTTCCAGGATTGGATTTCCAAAAGGGTCTCCTCCTCCTCAGCTTGTCAGCTCACTCCTATACCCCTAGTTGTTTTCTTAACACTTATTCTTCATGCTGTGGGATAGTTTCTAGGGTTCCCCAGTTGGAAAGTTTCTGCCTGAACTATCTTAGGAGAGGTCTGGATTGTCCAAGCAAATGGCTTAACATTGGTGACTGAGCTGTGGAGGGGGTGCTGGTGTGTGTTGGAATAAAAGAGGCTGCTTACGGCAGAGCACAGTCTCTGGAAGCATAGGGAAGATTGTTTTTTAATGTAGCTTGAATCTGTATGTGTGTGTGAGAGAGAGAAAGAGAGCGGTGGAAAGCTTGGTCCTTGGGGATCCTTGATTGAGAGAGAGAGAGATGAAAAGCTTGGTCCTTGGGGATCCTTGATTGAAGTTGCTGATGTTGGGGTCTCTGGTGGGCTACCACCTAAGAGGATCCCCCTCTCCAGTCTCTGTCGGATCAGACAGGTAGGGTGCAGCCTGAGGCTTGTTTAGCACAACAGGTGCAAACCACATTGTTGCCAAGACCTGCCTGAAGCCGGATTCTCCTTGCTCCTTCCTTCAACCCCGCCTCTTCCTTCTCCTTGTGTCCCTGCCAAAGGCTAGATGGAGGTCCATATCTTGTGTCATTAAGTACCTGTATGAAGGCAGGAGTGGGGGTAGTTTGTGCGGGTTGATCCGGATGTGGGACTTCCAAGTGGAGAAACGGGATTTGAATAAGTCTGGAATGCCCAGCCCAGTCCTGCGTAGCTGCTGGCTCTTTTACTCCACCCCAAAGCCTTCCCTGCCAGGCTGTCATAGCGCAAACAGACGGGGCCAGCCTTATCGCTTGCAGGTACTTTATGCCTGTGGATGGGCGCCACTGGTTGGTGGGGCCAAAGTTTCTAGGGGCTCTGTTGTCTGGGTTGGTTGTGGGAGTGTCAGGACAGGGGTGGAGCTGCCCTGTCCAGGGCCCAAGGAGGCGGGAGAAAGCCTATTACGGGAGAATTCCCCAGGCTCTTGGCCGGGAGGTAATGTCAGCTTTTGCCCCCTCCTGCTGTCCCCCTTGATTATGGCACTCCCTGTTTCAGCTTGCTTTTTTCCCCAGCCTCCCTCCCTGACTGGTGAGGCCAGGGTCACGGAGACCCAGGGCAAGAAGGTAGGATGAGAGCCTCCTCTCTACGTTAACTTTTGACTTGTCTGTGAACTTAAAGGTCCCCCCAAATGATTTTCTCTGCTCCTTCAGATTCCTCTGGATTTGAGGGAGTGTAAGCCCCCTTTGCCTGAGCTCCTGGGTTCTTCAGGGCACAGAACTCTTTAGTGGAGGGACCCAGACTTCCATCACCCCCAGCAGGCTTATCCTCTGCCCTACATAGCCATCTCAGGTAGTCTGCTGGACTCTTGAGTGCTCTCGTTAAAATAATAGGGGGAGATGCTGCAGGAATAGCAGAGAAGTTCCCTTTCAGGACTTCAAGTCCAGGGGCTGCTCTCCTCACCACACTCCCCCCTCCAGCATATGGCCTTTAAAGGTGTGAAGCCCTGTTACCTGATCCCTTGGGGTACTGGGGAAGGAGGTCGGGCTCCTTTCCTCTTTGCTTCTGGGAGCATCCCAGGCAGTGTAGAGTGGGTGCCCATCCCCAGATGGCAGGACTGGGGTGCGCGTGGGATCTACAGCCTTTGCTCAGTATGTAGGGTGAGGGTGGGGTTGGGGATGGGGGTAGGGCCAGGCTAATTGCTGTCTAGGCTGCTTTCATAGGCAGCTGGGCCTTCACTCCCAGCTCCTCTTCCACTTGCAGGATGTTGTTCTTCAGCTCAGGCACTGTGAGGGGAGGAGAGGAGGGGGTTTTGCAGAGACTGAGCCATGCCTGGGAATATTCCCAGAAGTGCCAGGTTGGAGGAACGGCGTATCTGCTCCCTGGACTGGGCTCCGGCTTTGCCTGGCTGCCTCTCCCACCCACCCTTCTCCCAGCCCCCACTCGCGCCTTACCCAGTTAGGGAGAGGCAGGGGGCTGGACGAACACAGCTTTCCCCTGTTCCAGCAGAGAAATGCTGGCTACATGCCCTCCCTAGGGTTCCCAGGCTGCCCGGGGTGTGGCTGGCCTTCCGACTTGAGCCCACTCTTGCTGGGACCTTGCCCAGGGACTTTGTGACATGGATGCTGAGATGGTACACTGGCCAGGTGCCAGGATTCCTGGGTACTGTGGTGGGCCGTGGACCTAATGCCTCAATGTCTCATGTCTGGCTGGGAGTCCTGCCACCTGGCCGCTCAGGGTCCTATACTTAGAGGTCAGGCTTCAGGCCTCCCTTAATGATTTCTCCCTGCCCCCCGCTTTGGTCTCTTCCCTCTCCAGAGATGCCCTGTATCCAAGCCCAGTATGGGACACCAGCACCAAGCCCAGGACCCCGTGACCACCTGGCCGGCGACCTCCTGACCCCTGAGCTCAGCAAGCCCGCCATGGACCTGGCCAGCCCCGAGGCGGCCCCCGCTGTCCCTACCGCCTTGCCCAGCTTCAGCACCTTCATGGACGGCTACACAGGGGAGTTTGACACCTTCCTCTACCAGCTGCCGGGCACGGCCCAGCCGTGCTCCTCGGCCTCCTCCTCGGCCTCCTCCACGTCCTCATCGTCAGCCACCTCCCCAGCCTCTGCTTCCTTCAAGTTCGAGGACTTCCAGGTGTACGGCTGCTACCCGGGCACGCTGAGTGGCCCTCTGGACGAGACCCTGTCCTCCAGCGGCTCTGACTACTATGGCAGTCCCTGCTCAGCGCCGTCGCCATCCACGCCCAGCTTCCAGCCACCCCAGCTCTCTCCCTGGGATGGCTCCTTCGGCCCCTTCTCGCCCAGTCAGACTTACGAAGGCCTGCGGGCATGGACAGAGCAGCTGCCCAAGGCTCCTGGGCCCCCCCAGCCGCCGGCCTTCTTCTCCTTCAGCCCTCCCCCCGGCCCCAGTCCCAGCCTGGCCCCAAGCCCCCTGAAGCTGTTCCCCTCGCAGGCCGCCCACCAGCTGGGGGAGGGAGAGAGCTATTCCATGCCAACAGCGTTCCCAGGCCTGGTGCCCACTTCTCCCCACCTTGATGGCTCCGGGAGGCTCGACGCGCCCGTGACCTCTGCCAAGGCCCGGAGTGGGGCTCCGGGTGGAGGCGAGGGCCGCTGTGCTGTGTGTGGGGACAATGCTTCCTGCCAGCATTATGGTGTCCGCACCTGTGAGGGCTGCAAAGGCTTCTTCAAGGTACTGGGCCGCCCTGGGTGTGGCTTTTTATGAGAAGTGGGGCAGGCTGGTCTGTCACCCCAGTGGGCTTTGTGGTGGCTTCGCTTGGGTTCTCCTTCCAACAAGTCTGCTCTTTAGGAAGAGGACAGGCTTGGCCCGGTGGGCTGCCATCCTCGGAGCAGGGAACTGGGATTTTCATGCTGACACTGGGGTGGTAGAGAGATGGAGGGAGGGGGTGAGAGTAGGGCAGAGGGTGCAGGCTGCGGGGTTACCCAGGAGGGGGAGTTTCTGCGGCCAGCCTCTGGTTTTCCTCTGCCTGGCCTCCCCCTACTCAAGGTCCTGGTGGGAAGGAGGGGGGTGCCCAGGCACTCGTGTTCCTGGCACGAGATGAAAGGATCTGAGGAGAGGGCTTGGTGCTGGAGGGCTGGGGGTGGACTTGGGAACAGGCTGCGTGTTTGTCCCAGCGCTGGGTGCCTGCTTCACTGCCCGTCCCCACCCCTGGCCCCTCCTCAGCCCTCTCGTGTCTGCCTCAGGGAAGGGGCAGGCGGACACAGGCGCGTTAAGAAGTGTCAGTGTCTGGGCTGCTGGGGAGCCCCTTGCCCCTCATCCTGTGTCCTGAGGGTAAGGCTGAACCCTCCCCCAGTGTCCCCAAGACTTTTTTTCTTCCTCCCCCAACCCATCCATCTTATCCTCCCCTGCCACCCAAATGTTAGAAAAATAGTTGTGAACAGAGAGCGCTTTTGTCTGCAATGGCAGTAGGATCTGAACAGGCCCCTCCCCTGGGCTCCCCCCCACCCCCACCCCACACTCTGACAGCCTGTTCCGTGTTGGCCCCCCCCAGCGCACAGTGCAGAAAAATGCCAAGTACATCTGCCTGGCTAACAAGGACTGCCCTGTGGACAAGAGGCGGCGAAACCGCTGCCAGTTCTGCCGCTTCCAGAAGTGCCTGGCCGTGGGCATGGTGAAGGAAGGTGGGTGGTTGGGACAGGCCCCGAGGGGCAGAGGTGGGCCGGAGCGGGGTGGGGCACACAGATCCCCCCACCCCCGGACATCTGTCCTGGTGGGCCGCAGGGGAAGGCATGCCTGGGCCTTAGGTCCTCCCCCGACTCCAGTCCACCTGCCTGCCTTGTGGGAGCGGAGGTCACTGCAGGGTCCCCTGGATTCTCGGGGGCTCTAGCTCCTCATCCTTGGGCATGCTTCTAGCACTGGGGTTCACAGCTTGGGCTGGGAGTCCCTTACCTGGGCCCCTTTCTCCTTGCCTCACTCCTGCCCATTTCTCTGCAGTTGTCCGGACAGACAGCCTGAAAGGAAGGCGGGGTCGGCTCCCTTCAAAGCCCAAGCAGCCCCCAGAAACCTCCCCAGCCCACCTACTCACCTCCCTGGTCCGGGCGCACCTGGACTCGGGGCCCAGCACTTCTAAACTGGACTACTCCAAGGTGAGGCCCTGCCCAGCCCACATTTGGCACTTCCTACACGTGAGAAAGCCACCGCCCAGCCCCCAGTTCCACAGATCGAAAAGAGGGTTGGCCCCTCTAGGCTGACCAGATGGAAAAATGTACCCCTCTGGGCAGTGGCCAATTAAAAAAAAAATGTGCTCCTTCCAGCAGCCTCGGCTCTGGGTTAACAGGCGAGAAGTTGGCAAGCAAGCGTGGGCGGGATCTCGGCTCTGTTCTCACCCTTGGGGTCTGGCATCCCGGGGCGTGACACGGCTGCACACAGCCGCCTGGGTGTGGGGCTCTTCCTGGGGTCTGACCCCGTTGGACCACCTGCCAGTTCCAGGAGCTGGCGCTGCCCCACTTCGGGAAAGAGGATGCCGGGGATGTGCAGCAGTTCTACGACCTGCTCTCGGGTTCCCTGGAGGTGATCCGCAAGTGGGCCGAGAAGATCCCCGGCTTTGCCGAGCTGTCTCCTGGAGACCAGGACCTGCTGCTGGAGTCTGCCTTTCTGGAGCTCTTTATTCTCCGTCTGGCCTACCGGTGAGCATCCCACTGAATGTTCAGCCCTCGACCAGCGCCTTGCCCTCCAGCCCCGCCCCGCCCCCTGACGGCTGTCTGCACCCCCACCTGCCAGGTCTAAACCAGCCGAGGGGAAGCTCATCTTCTGCTCAGGCCTGGTGCTGCACCGCCTGCAATGCGCCCGTGGCTTCGGGGACTGGATCGACAGCATCCTGGCCTTCTCTCGCTCCCTGCACAGCTTGGTGGTCGACATCCCTGCCTTCGCCTGCCTCTCTGCGCTTGTCCTCATCACAGGTGGGAGTCTGGTCCCCAGACCCAGGGAGATGGGGAGGGCTTGAGGGCCTGGCTCTGGATGTGCCAGCGTCCGGTGTTTCCTGGGCCCCCTGCATTGTGGAGTGAGGGTGATGAGATGTGGAGACGGCAGGCGTGGCTCAGGGCAATGTAGTTGGCGGTTGGCAGAGCCGAGTTTCAGGCCTAGCTGTGGCTGACTGCAAACCATCAGTCCCTGACGTAGCCCAGACGACTCAAGATCCTGATTGTGTAGGTGTCATGTGTGGCCTAAAGTTTGTTTTTTTTTTTAAATCTTACTGAATCATGTTGCATGGAAATTTTCACAAAGTGTATGCACATAAACAACACATAGATCAAGAAACAGACACAGGGCTTCCCTGGTGCTTCAGTGGTAGAGGATCCGCCCGCCAACACAGGAGACACGGGTTCAATCCCTGATCTGGAAGAGTCCCACATGCTGCGGAGCACTTAAGCGCCTGTGCCATAACTACTGAGCCTGTGCTTTAGAGCCCAGGAATCACAACTATTGAAGCCCATGAGCTGCAACTGTTGAAACCCTCCTGCTCTGGAGCCTGTACTCTGCAATAAGGGAAGTCTTACAGTGAGAAACCTGTGCACCATAAGTAGAGCGTAGCCCCTGCTCCTTGCAGCTGGAGAAAGCCCCCGTAGCAACAGAGACCCAGCACAGCCAAAAATAACTAAATAAATAAAATTATATTTTAAGAAACAGCGATGACCAGGACCCCAGAACGCCTCCTTGTGCCCCCTTTTAGTCATTAGCTCCCCGAAGGGTAGCTGCCACTTTGTTAACAGCACTGATTAGCTTTGCTGGTTGTGTACTTCGTGTAAATATGTAAATGTAATTGCCCACGGTACGAGCTTTTGGCATTAAATGCGGAGGTTTTCAGGTCTTTATTTGTTAAAGCACCAGAATCTGCCCCATCTCTTTCTTTCTAAAAAAATATTTACTCATTTCTTTGACCGCATCAGGTCTTAGTTGTGGCACACGGGATCTTTTGTCGTGGCGCAAGGCCTCTAGTTATGGTTTGTGAGCTACAGAGCACATGGGCCTTGCTAGTTGAGGGATGTGGGATCTTAGTTCCCCTACCAGGGAGCACACCCTTGTCCCCTGCATTGCAAGGCGGATTCTTAACCACTGCACCACCAGGGAAGTCCCTGACCAGGGACTTCCCCTGCCCCATCTCTTTTTCAGTTAATTTTTTAAGTTAAGTTTCACAAGGCTACATAGGACCAAAAAAACTGTAGGACAGAATCTGAGGTACTTTCGGCTGCAGAGAGAGCACTGCTTTCTCTGGAGGTGACGTCTGTAATGCTGCTACACAAATCCAGGGTTTCTCACAATAGTCTGGGGTGTTAGTCGCTCAGTCATGTCCAGCTCTTTGCAAGCCCATGGACTGTAGCCTGCCAAGCTCCTCTGTCCATGGAATTCTCCAGGCAAGAATACTGGAATGGGTAGTCATTCCCTTCCCCAGGGGATTTTCCTGACACAGGGACCAAACTCTGGTCTCCTGCATTGCAGCAGATTCTTTACCATCTGGGCTGGGGGTGACCAAAACCCAAAAAAACAACACTGGGCTAGTCAGTAAAACCTGCTTAAGGTTTTATTTCCTCTCTGTGACTTTAGGCAAGTCTTGTAACCTCTCTGGGCCTCACTTTGTCCCTTGGAAGATGAGGATGATGAGCACTGCTGCCTTGCTGGGCTTCTGGTGGGGCTCCTGTGCTTCTGTGGAGTGCAGGGGGGCGTGGGAGATGGTCTGTAGCAGTAGCCCCAGCGACCTGGGGGCAGCCGACTCTGCAGGGGAGAGGGGCGTTGGGTTCTGGGCAGTGCGCCTAATCCCACACCTTGTCCCCCCTCCACCGCAGACCGGCACGGGCTGCAGGAGCCTCGCCGGGTAGAGGAGCTGCAGAACCGCATCGCCAGCTGCCTGAAGGAGCACGTCTCGGCCGAGGCGGGCGAGCCCCAGCCGGCCAGCTGCCTGTCGCGCCTGCTGGGCAAGCTGCCTGAGCTGCGGACCCTGTGCACCCAGGGCTTGCAGCGCATCTTCTACCTCAAGCTGGAGGACCTGGTGCCCCCTCCACCCATCGTCGACAAGATCTTTATGGACACGCTGCCCTTCTGACCCTGGCCCGGGAACATGCGTGCACTCAGTGTGCACGCTCATAATGCCACCCCACGTGCCTTTAGCCCATGGCCCACGGACCCCCGGAGCATCACCCCGGCCTGGGCCTGAGCTGCAGACTGGCTGCCCCTCCCCCTTGTTGTCTGGGAGGTCAGCGGGGAGCTCATGCCCTGGGGGAGAGGGATGCATTCACAGGGGTGACCCTTACTATTTGTCTTACCCCCCAGCCCAGCCCTGGTCTTCATGTTTTTGTAAGATAAACCGTTTTTAACACACACACCGCCATGCTGTAAATAAGCCGAATGCTGCTGTAAATACAGGAAGGAAGAGGTTGAGGTGGGAGTGGGGGTTGGGAGGGAGGAATGGGCCCCCACCAGCCACCTCCTACTTAACTCTCTTGCCACCCTCCTTCCACATGTACATAGACTCACTCTAGGAGGAAGACAGATGACAGATTCTGACATTTATATTTGTGTATTTTCCTGGATTTATAGTATGTGACTTTTCTGATTAATATATTTAATATATTGAATAAAAAATAGACATGTAGCTGAAGCTGAGATCCTGTCTATCTCTGGCACCCTCTACCCATACCACCCACCCCCAAAATGGCATAATAGAGACACAGGTGGCTCCTGTAAGCCTTTGTTTATTTTTGGGCAACCCAAGCCAGGTGGCATATGGGGGCTTAGTTCTCCAACCAGGAATCGAATCCACACCCCCTGCAGTGGAAGTGTCAAGTCCTAACCACTGCACCACCAGGGAAGTCCCTTGCTCCCATAAATCTTGCATGTTACCAACTTGGCTAACAGGCCTCAGTTTACTCATTTATAAAAGGTGGAAGTAATGACACCTGCTTCATGGGATTGTTAGGCAAAGCACTCAGATTAGTTTCTGACATGGAGAAAGCCTCTGGTGAACAGGCCAGGCTCACGGATGGGGCCTGTTCGTGCTGGGGGCCAGTTCGTCCACCAGCTTTGCCTGGAAGTTCCTAACCTGAAGCCCCAGCTCACATGTCCCCTGGGAGTGTGGGTGGGGTGCTCAGTGTAGGGCTGGGTCCAGGGCAGCCCAGGATGGTGGTAGCCACTGTCCTCAGTAGAAGTTTCTCCCCATCCCCACTTTCAGTATCCCTCCCCACAAGCCTAGTGCCCCAGCAGCAGGACCCAGGTTATGGTAACCCTGACCTTCTTGGCAGGAAGACCGAGTTCCCTGCTTGTGCCCAAGTGCCCCCAAGTAGGTTCTCCAACTCCCAAGCCCATCAGATGCTTAGCTGGCTTAAAATGCAAATTCCTTGGCTCTACCCCAGAGACTGGGATTTGACAAGGGGCGGGGCCCATGGAGCTCAACTTTCACCCAGCACCCAGGTGCCTGTGAGGCTGGAGGTCTGGGAGCCACTCTTTGGAGAAACACAAATGTAGAACTGACCCTATACTGAAGTCCAAGGTAGCTGGCTGCCACGCGGGGCCCGGCCCCCTACCCTGCGTTCTGTGCAAGAGGACCCTTGACCCAGGACCCCTGAACCTCCATCCCCACAGCCTCTACGAACTGGCTGAATGAGGGCAGCCCCTGCCTGATGGAAGCTCAACAAAACAGGGCTCTGCTCCGCTGTAGACAGAATCCAGGGCCTTCCCTGATGCTTCAGCCCCTGCCTACAGGTTCCCCAGGGAGTCCCCCACCACCTGCCCTCACTCAGGTTTTGGGATGATGGCTGAACCCCAGGTCTTCTGAAGGGTCCACGTGGGGGTGGGCTGGGGAGTCCTAGGCCCTGTGCATGATGACTGCCACCCCCCTCAGTGTGTGAACATCCAAGAACACGTCCCTGGCAGCCTGGCCAGATCCCCTGAGTTGTCACAGCCCTGGCACCTGGTGAGGCAGGGGTAGGGGGTGGGATGGTCAGGAGATGTGCTTCGTTTCTCAGCCCTGCCTCCAACTCCATGCTGCTTTCTGAGAAGCCCCGCTCCCTCACTGAGCCTTGGTTTCCTGTCTGTTCCGTGTGGAGGGGAGTCTGGTGGCAATACTCTGGTTAGGAGCAGAACTTGCTGGGAAATCTCCCACCAGCTGTAGCTGGATTGAGTCTCTCTCCCTTTGGGTCACCCTTTGGCACAGACAGATGTAGAGTACATGGCAGGCCCCTGGGGAAGGCAAAGGTGCTTGAGAAGATGCTTCCCAGGGTCAGGAAGCAGGCAGGGCAGTGGAGAATTTTGGTCCCTACAGGTATCTAGGCACCATGGTAAGGACAGCAGCTACCACACCTGCTTCATCGTCCACTGAATTCATATATTTGCTATTTCTAGTCCTTCACACCACCCTATGAGGAACACATGCAACAGAGAACCGGACTACCTGGCTTTTTAAAAAGTCTTTTCCTAGCTGTGAAATTTGGGGCATGTCACTTCACCCTTCTGCGCCTCAGTGTTTTCATCCATGTTGTTGTTCAGTCGCTAATATGTGCCTGACTCTTTCTGACCTCCCGGACTGCAGCACTCCAGGTTCCTCTGTCCTCCACTGTCTCCCAGAGTTTGCTCAAATTCACGTCCATGGAGTTGGTGGCGCTATCTCACCATCTCATCCTCCCCCTTCTTTTGCCTTCAACCGTTCCCAGCATCAAGGTCTTTTCCAATGAGCTGGCTTTTCACATCAGGTGGTCAAAGTATTGGAGCTTCAGCTTGAGCATCTGTATGTGGGGAAAATAGTTGTATTTATTTTACAAAGTTGCTATAATGGTTACAAGGTGAATGTATACAAAGTTGTTTCCAGAAGTGCCTGCCATGTAGCAAGCACCAATAAATAATAGCTATTGTTTTCACCAAAGAGGAGAATCCATTTCAGAGAAAAGGAAATGACTTTCCCAAGGTCACTTGACTTCTAAGTGGCTGAGCTGGGTGGGTCTAACTACTGTACTTAATCACTAGGTCTTCCAGTACAGGGCCTTGTAAGTTGAAGAAACACCATGGACAGTGGCTTCTTTCCAGGACTTGGGCGATAGGGGCACAGGCTGGGGGTGCTGATTTCTCCAGCCCCGCCCTGCCCCACCCAAGGCCTGGTGCCTGAAGGCAGGCCCTTTCTTTCCAACTAGCAACTGGAAGAACTGGCCTCCGAGTCTTGCTAGGGGCTGGGAGGACGAACAAGGGGGCATTGAGCCTGGTGGGGCCTCACAATGGCCGCTCTGTCCCTGCAGCCTGGGGGTGGGTCATTTCCGTTGGGGACAATAGTCAAAAGGCAGTGACGCCGGCAGGGCCTGGAATCCCAGGCGGGATTTTCCGAGGCCTCAAAGCTTTCTGTTTGTCCTCACAGGAGACCCAGGAAGCCTGCCTCCCTCTGTCCCCCACCTCACCCACGCTGGGCCCCGCGCCCAGAGGCCCCCAGTCCGGAGGTGCCACAGTGAAGGGGCTATAGTTCTGAGGTCTAAGGTCTGAGTGAGTAGGGGCTGATGGCCCTTCACTAGGGCCTGGGATGGAAGAAGTTGCCGTGGTTATGGAGGGAGGTGACGAGGGTCGGCCTCAAGGAAGCGGAGAAGCTTCTGACCCTCACAGGCTGTACGGCACCTCACGGTTACTCTGAATGTCCAGTGTACCGGGCTGGATGGTAGCTGGCCTTGTGGCTGCAGAGAGAAGTGTATGAGAATTTGTCAGAGCTTGGCAGCTGGGGACAGTCCGCAGGTCTAGTGATGTCCTTCCATGGCTATGAGAAGCTATGTTGGGCCTGTTCTGGTTGAGGGCAGTGCTGGGTTGCCTCAGGTAAGAGCTGGGTCTGGGGATTCCCAGGGTGTTTTAGCTTAAATCTAGATGAGCCCCAGCCTCACCAAGCCCCCGACTTTAGCAGTGACCTCAGGGCTGCTGGGCCTTCTCAGAACATGAGGCTGAAGGGATGAGCCCCTGTCCATCCGCTTGCTGCCCTGTCCAGGCCCGGTCTTACAGCCCTACAGCTCAGCCAGCAGCTGCTCTGTGTTACCTGGAGCCCCAAACCTCTGCTCCTCCCTGCTCCAGGCTCAGGTCGCTACCAGCCCTGTCCTGGTCCCAGGCTGGGGGCTGTTGGGTAAGGCCTAGGCCGCCCAGTGGGACTTGGAAACTTCCAGTCTGCTGTGGGAAGGGCAGGAAGGAGCACAGGACTGAGGAATCCCCTCTCCACCCACTCAATATCTCCTTCGCCACGCAGCTGGGAACATTCTGAGGGCAGGGGGCACATTTCAGGGTCCCCAGCTGGACTCAGAGCTGCCTGAGGGCCCTGGGTCCCTGGAGTCTCTGGCCTTGGCGTCTGCCTCCTGCCCCCCACCCCTAGGCCCATGTTCCGGCCATCCTGCCCACCACCCCTGCTCCCCTTTGCTTCCTGCTGGGCCCTGACCCTGCCAGGCCAAGGGGGAGCCACTTGAGGTCTCCTCAAGGTCTCACACAGGTGCTGGCTCAGGACCATAAATCATGCCGGCACGGCTGTGAGGGCTAGGGGTGGCAGCTGGGCCGGGGAGGGGAGTGCGGGGGGGCACTTCTTGGTACATGCTGCGTTAGCAGGGAGCAGTGCCCAGCTGGGAGCTGGGCGGGCGGGTGCTGACTGTTGCTGCCCTCGTCCAGACACATCAGAGCAACAGGGCCCCCACACAGGGAGTCTAGCATCAGGGTCACCCAAGTGGAAGACCTGGACCCATCCCAGGTAACTGGGGTACCATGAGGATAGACACAGAAGTGACCCTGCCCAATGGGAAACTTGGGAGAGAAAAGTACCACCCCCCCAGGAGTAGGTGGAGACACTCCCTTATGAAGGGTGGGTAAACAGGCCTCTTTTCTTGCATGGATAGTCTCGCAGAATCCTCTGCCCCAAAGAACAACAGTCATGCACACACCTCCCAAAGGAACAGAGGCACAGACCTTGCAGGAAGGAGAGCTTGACCCCTTCCCTCTGGGGGACAGACACAGAGACAAAGCCCCACCCCAGCTGGCCAGAGAGATAAACACAGTTCTTCTGGGAGACAGAGACATCGCCATCACAAAAGGACAGAGCCCCACGCATCCCGGGGCAGAGGGCAGCCACTGTGCCACCTCCTGCCCTGCCCAGGTCTTGAGGCTCCTGACGAGGCTGGGCTGGGAGGCCCCTCTTTCTCACGCTCTCTGTCCCTCTCTCGTCCGCCCAGCCATTTCCTCTGCCTTGAAGGGGGCGGCGAGGGGGGGTGGGGGGGGAGGGTGGTGGCGGTGGGAGTGACAGCCCAGAAAGAGTGGGAAGCAGAGTAGCCCCTGCCCAGGACCCCAGGGGGCAGATGTCAGAAGCGGACAGCTGGTCCTCCTCGCCCCCGCGTCCTGGCTCGGACTAGAGGGTCGGAAGGCAGGGTGCCGGCTGCCCAGCCAAGCTGGCCACTGTCAGGGGCCCCCAGCCTGACGTCAGTCCCACTCATTGTTGCTGCTGAGGCTTGAGTCACTCCCTGTGACGCACAGGGGTCAGCTCTGGAGCGGCCGGGGGTGGCTTCAGGGCTTAGCTCTCCCCTGGGTGCACTGGGACGGGGTGGGGCCATCTGAGGCCACAGTCGCCTTGCGAAGCCAGCTGCCTACTCCCAAGGTCTTGGGTTGGCCTTCAAGGTCCCTCCGCAAGCTTTTGCCGCAGACGTGCCTCAGAGGGCCTTCGCCAGTTGCCTGTCTGCCCGGCTGGCCGTGACTCTGACTGAGAAGTCAGCTCCCCCTGTGCTGGCCCGTCCTGCCTCAGAGCGCTCGGTTTCCACCCTTGCTGAGACCTCTCCCTCTAGCTCCTTTCTTTCTCTTTCTTCAGGAAGCCTCCCCAGCATAATTCCCTGTGGCCCCACTTCTTCCTGGAATTGCCAACCCCTCTTCTTGTCCAGGAATTGCCAACCCCCCTTCTTGTCCATCTCCTCGGGTTGCTGTTGTCCCGGTTTCCTGCTGGTGCCCAGTCACCTCCCAACTTGCTGAGAGCAGGGCCTGGGACTCCTTTTCACTCTGACTGTGTCACTTTCTATTCCAGGCCACAGGCATCTTTCTGGGATTACAGCAGTGGCTTCCATCCTGGCCCCCTCTGGCCCCTGCAGAACCTGCTGTCATTTTTCCATACTCTTTCTTGTGCTTTCTCATCCAGGTGCAACTCCTGGTCCAGCTCCTCTGTGAGACTCTGAGGCCTTCCCAGAGGGCCAGGATTGCAACTTGTCCCCCTTGGTAGGACATGGGCCTGGCATGGGGACAGTTTCACAGGTGCAGCATGACTGCATGATTCCATCTGGGTCATCAGGAGTGCTGGTGGAGGATGGGAGAATTCATTCCACACAGACTCATTTTGAGGGGCTGAGATGCACCCCCGCACCCTATGTTCCTGACAGGACCACCCAGATGGGTGTAAGACTTAGGGTCAGAGTTACAGTGAGAATGGCCCTTTAAGGATTCAGGGAGGTATGAGGAGGCAAGGATTGGCCAGGATCTGGGCCTGAGATAGGGGAGGTGAGAGGTCTCAACCTCATCCTCGGGCAGAAAAGGCTCCAGGGATGGGGTGAGGTGTGGAGGGAGAAGAGTGGGAAAAAATACTGGCAGAGGACTTCTCTGGTGGTCCAGTAGTTAGGACTCCACATTTCCAGTGCAGGGGGCACGGGTTCAATCCCTGGTCAGGAACTAAGATCCCACATGCTGTGTGACATAGCCAAAAGATAAAAAGAAAAAAAAAAAATGACTGGCAGAATGAGGAAAGAGTAGCTGTGTGGCCTTGGCAAATGTATTAGTCAGGATTCTCCAGAGAAATAGAACCAATAGGATGTGTATATATAGAAAGAGATTTATTATGAGGAATTGGCTCATGTGATTATGGAAGCTGACAGGTCCCAAGATTTGCAGTCAGCAAGCTGGAGATCCAGGAGAGCTGATGGTGTGATTCCAAATGCTGGCAGGCTCGAGGCCCAGGAGGAGATGATAGTTTGGTTCAAGTCTGAAGGTAGGGGAAAAAAACCTGATGTCTCAACTTGAAAGTAATCAGGGAGGGTGAGAACCTTTTATTCTATTCAAGCCTTCAACTTACTGGTTGGGGCCCACCCACACATAGAGGCTTCCCTGGTGGCTCAGACTGTAAAGAGTCTGCCTGCAATGCAGGAAACTCAGGTTTGATCCCTGGGTCAGGAAGATTCCCCAGAGAAGGAAATGGCAACCCACTCCAGTATTCTTGCCTGGAGAATACCGTGGACAGAGGAGCCTGGCAGGCTACAGTCCATGGAGTTGCGAAGAGTCAGACACGACCCAGCTACTAACACTATTACTATTACCCTCACTAGGGAAGGTAATCTGCTTTGTTGTTGTTTAGTCCCTAAGTTGTGTCCAACTCTTTTGGGACCCCATAGATTATAGTCTGCTAGGTTCCTCTGTCCATGGGATTTCCCAGGCAAGAATCCTGGAGTGGTTGTCATTTCCTTCTCTGGAGGGATCTTCTTGACCCAGGAATTGAACCCATGCCTCTTGCATCTCCTGCATTGGCAGACAGATTCTTTACCACTGAGCCACCAGGGAAGCCACACTAAGTCTGTGATTCAAATGTTTTTCTTCCAGAAACACCCTCATGGACACACTCAATAATATTTGACCAGATGTCTGGGCACTCTGTGGCACAGTCAGGTTGTTGCATAAAATATGCCATCATAGCTTGTCACTCTATATCACTGAGCCTCAGTTTCATTATCTGTAAACTGGGGAGAAATGATACTTAATTTCCAAGGCAGTTGGAGAAATCAGCACACTAGTGCATGTGAAGTGCTGGTGTGGTGCCTTGCAAAGCTCCGTGACAGGTAGTTCTGAGGATGGTGATGTCAGGACAGTGGCAGTGAAAGCTCCGGAGGTGAGCGTGTCAGGGTACAGAGTGCCTTCAGTCACTCCCCACACTTTCCGGCAGCCTGAGGAAGTTAGGCTGTTTTTCTATTTTCCTGGCCATGCCGCATAGCATACGGGATCTTAGTTCCCTGACCAGGGATCGAATCAGCGTCCCCTGCGGCAGAGGAGCGGGGTCTCTACCACTGAACCACCAGAGAAGTCCCTAGGCTCTTTCCTCCCCCTCCCCAGGGCTGGTTCTAAGCCCCCTGGTTCCCCCTCCTTCGCCTTCTCACAGATCCTCCCCTCTCAGTAGTTCATCCTGATTCCCTTCCGCTTAAGTCCAGGCTCTAGAGGAGGATGTTGGCCTGTCAGACTGGCTACTTTCCCCTTCCCCAGGCCCCATTTATAAAGGAGGAAATCAGAAAGGTTGAATGACATCAAGAGGCCCACACAGAGGCAATGGCAGAATTACAAGCTTTATAAGAACAGTCACCAGACCGGTCATGGCAGAGCACCAAGAAATGCTCCTGTGTGAAGATAACCGAGTAAGGTTAAGCCCGCTTTCTCTGGTATCTTGCACATTGAACCAACTAAAGTTTTCCCACTCAGAACACTAGTCTGAGCTCATCTCCAGGGCATCTCTCCAAATGCCATGTCCCTCATCTTAGGGGATCGGTACCTCTTCCAGTCCTCTGAGACCAGAATTGGGGACCACGTCTCGGTCCCAGGGGTGGCTTTCTCCTCTCCGCCTAGGGAGGCGGCACAGAGCTCGTCAGGCCCTTCCTTCCCTCTCATCTCTATGGCGGAAGTGAGTTGCTCCAGCCGAAACACAACAACATCCTCGGTGGTGGGGTTAAATGGACTCGTCCAAACGAGGGGGATACTTCTTACCGTCAAATCTTAAAATCCGAGACATAATCCAGAAGAAAGCAATCTTCAACGTAGAGAGCACCATACGGTTGTCTTTGTCCGCTGGTGTGGATGTAGAACGGTCCAGGCATCTGTACTGGTGCCAGGGTTCGGCCAGCTGTGCTCGCGCCCCCACCGGAGGCCGATGGAGCAGGTGGGACCGGCCGGGCTCGCAGGGGCGGGCCAGGTCTTCCGGCGCCGGCACCGCCTCTTGCCGAGGTGATCTGGTCTCCTCGGGGAGGGTCGTTTCTTCCCCCGCGGGTCCCAGACGGGGATTCTGGGAGGTGGGAGACTGTTCTAGCTGTGTGGCCCTTGTCCTGTGCGAGCGCGGACGCGCCTCGAACTCCTGGGCCTGGCTTGGCTGGGCGCGGGGCTCCGCTCCTCCCGCGTCCCTGGACCGTGGAGGTTCGCCGGCACTGGCGGCGGGAGAAACTTAACCGGGACGGCAAGTCCTTCCTGCGTCCGACAGGGTCTCTCGATGCGGAGCCGAATAACTTTGTGTTTTTGTGTTCAGCCTGTCTCTTGCGGCTCGTGGCGCGCGGGGAGGTTTCGGCATACCTGCGGAGGGCGTACCTGTGCGTGAGGAGGAGAAAGGGCAAGGTCCAGCCTGAGTGACCCGCGTGCCAGCCTCTCCGCGTAAGGTGAGGCTGGGGAAACCCTGGGCTCCGGCCTGACTCAGAGGAGGCATCAGTCAGCATCTGCCCCGGTACTCTGCAGACCTGGGCCTTGGGGGACACCGAAGGGACGAGACTTCTCAGGCACTGCCCTGGCAAAGTCCCCTGCTCACGGGGCGTCGAGGGTGAGGGAGCAGACAAGCTCATCACAGAGCAAAGGTGGCCGCGTTGGGGAGGCTGAGGTTGGTTCGTGTTGACTTTCTGAAGTGGAATCTTGAATAGCACTGAGAATGAGGGAAGAACCTGGGTTTGGGGCAAAAGTGAAAAGAGGGGTGGCCTGTTTGACGGTTTGTGGGGGACACCAGAGGGGGTTTGTGGAAGAAAAGAGAGTTGGACCAGAGCTGGGAGTTTTCAGATGTGAAACTGCTGGATGGAGTTAGACTAGAGGGCAGAAATGAGCAAGAAGGCCTGCGCATCCTGAGAGTATATATAGGAGAAATCAGTCCAGCAATCCTTTCAGGATGAATTGAGCAGTTGCTGTGTACTAGGAACCAGGTATACTGAGATTCCGCGGAGGAATAGGATACAGTTCCTGTCATTAAGGAACTGTCTGCTAGTAGGAGAGACCAGACAAGGTTAACACCCGTGAAAAGATAACTGATGATGCAGGTAGTCTTGGGCTGATTGCCAGGTGAGAGACAGAGCCAGCTTGATCTCTGAGTGGTCTGTGGACTGCCTCCCTGACTTCAGGGGCAAAGAGACAAACCCGTACACTTTGAAGAGAGTTGCCTGCCCCTGAGGAATTAAGATGTGATGTGAAGCTGGAATGTTTATGGGGACTGGAGACCTTTAACCTGTAGAAGGGGTAAAGGGATGATGGCAGAGTTGCCTTTGAATATCTGAAAGGCTCCCTTGTGGGAAAGGGGTGGGACTTCTTCTGTGCGTGACTCTTGATTTCAGAATTAAGATTAGCAGTTTAAAGCACTAAGAGACAAAGCCCTTCCAAAGAGGGAGTCTCTGAATAGAACTTTAAAAAGACTGGAATGACCTGCTGGGAGAGGTGAATTCTCTGTCAGGGGAGGTGTGTAAGCTGAACCTTCTCAGCTAAGAAATTTGACTGTTCCCGCTCCTTCTCAGCTCATATTCAGTTACTGATGAAGTTCTGGTTCTCAAGTCTGTTCTTCCCTTCCCACTCCCTCTACCAGTCCTGTCCTAGCCTTGCGTCATCTCTCAGCAATAACAATGTAGTAATTAGAGCAGCTCATACTGAATGCTTCGTGCTTGCCAGGAACTGCATCAAGTGCTTTACAGATGCTAACTCACCCCATTCTGGAGAGGACCCCTTCAAGGTAGCTACTGTGAATATCCCTATTTTATGGATTGGGGAACCTGAGGCACTTAGGGGTGAGGCAACATGCCCTTGATCACACAGTGAGCTGATGAGAGAGCTGGGGCTCCAACCCAGGCAGTCTGGCTTTAGCGTCCCTGCTGTGTTTCACATGTGTTATTTTATTCTATATTTACAGATAAGAAAGTAGACTCAGAGGTTGAGTGATTGGCTTAAGGTCACAGAGCAAGATACTGGAGACCTGGGATTCGGACCCTGGGCCATTGGATGTGGAAACCCCACACTCTGCACATCACTCTGCCACATCCCATTGCACTGTCTGGAAATGGCACGACTGTGGTGGTCTCTAACTAGACTCCTTGCCCAACCCTTTCTGTCTTCAATTGACAAGGTTTTTTTTTTTTTTTTATTTGGCTGCACTGGGTCTTGGTTGTGGCACACAGGCTCTTCAATCTTTGCTGGGGCATGTGGGATCTAGTTCCTTGACCAGGGATCGAACCTAGGTACCCTGCATTGGGGGCACAGAGTGTTAGCCACTTGACCACCAGGAGAGTCCCTTAAATTGGCAAATTTTTACCTCAGAGTCTGTGAGATTTGGTGTGTATGTGTCAGTCAGGTTTTCAAGTTCAGTCTTCTTAGCTTTCACTGACTTCTCAGAGCAGTCTCTGACCCCTCAAATAGTGACGAACCATTCTTCACCCGTCGGCTGGAGTTAACTTTCTGATGTGTAGATTCAATGTTGGACAGTGGGATGCATGGACTCTTCACTGCCCTCGGGACAGAGTCCAGATGCCTGGTCATTCAGGGTCCCAGGAGATCAGATTCTAGTCTTCCTTTTCTTCTCACTCCCATCATGGAGTCTCACTACTCTGGTGATGTTTACCTGCCTGTCTGTCCTCCATCCTGGCAGCTTCTCAAGGGCTGGAGCTGGCAGGGGTTCACAGTGAGCATGTGCTGTAAACCACACTGGATGCCGTCACGGAATTCAGGCCGGAGCTAGGTGTTTGGACTGGTAGCTTTGCTGCTCTCCCCATCTCCCATCCCAAGAGTCAGTGGTCCTCTGCCAGCATATGTGGCTACAGAGCAGAGAAGGGCCGTGGTGGCAGGGGACAGGGCTGGGCCTGGAAGGATGTGAACAGGTGACACACCAATCAGGCAGAATGTGTCCACATTCTGACCCGGCTCCTCTTGCAGGGTGGCCCCTGGGTGGGGTGAAGCTCCACCGTCTTTCCTCTGGTCCCTGACCTCAGCGTGGGCCCCCAGCTACAAGATGAACTGTCGCTCGGAGGTGCTGGAGGTGTCGGTTGAGGGGCGGCAGGTGGAGGAGGCCATGCTGGCCGTGCTGCATACGGTGCTCCTCCACCGCAGCACTGGCAAGTTCCACTACAAGAAGGAGGGCACCTACTCCATTGGCACCGTGGGCACCCAGGACGTGGACTGCGACTTCATCGACTTCACCTACGTGCGCGTCTCCTCCGAGGAGCTGGACCGCGCTCTGCGCAAGGTCGTCGGGGAGTTCAGGGTAAGGTGGGGTGCAGTGGGCAGCAGGGGGCTGCTGCGTGTCGTCCCCTCCTTGCTGTTGGACCAGCTTACCCTTCCTGGGTGTGCGTGTCAGGTTGTTTGAGGTTCTCAGGAACAGGCATGTTCAGAGCTCTTCTGGGTGGGGAGTGCTTGGTAGGGGGGTAGGGGAGGGGGCCTTGTAAAAATACCAGCAAGGAGAGCAGGCAGCCCTTTGAGCACTGGCAGCCAGCGCCCCTGGGCTGATCATCGCCTCTGCACTCTTGACCTCCTCTCTACTGACACCTCTGTGCTTCTGCTTCCACATTCGGGCCTTTCTCATACGAGATGCCCTGAGAGGGAGGGCTGCTGGGCTCAGGCGGTGGCTGTCCCAGAGAAGGGTCCTGTGGGCAGTGTGGCGGGTGTCTGTGTGGGCCTGTAGGGGCCAGGAGAAAGGTAGAAGGGACACACCAGCCTGCTCACATTGGTCATCTCGGGGCGGGAATGGAGGTGTGATTTTTAATTCTGTCTGCATTCAGGGTTGCAGTGTTTCATTCTTTCAGTGAGTGCATATCTTTAAAATTTAAAGTAATGAAGGGAATTTCTCTTAAAGTGCCCTCCCTGAGATCAGAGGAGGAGGGTTGTCTCTCTGGCTTCCATTCCATAGACGTGTGATCCTCATAGGGGGTGGACTCGCTACCAGCCACAGGGTACTCCCCGCCCTCCCATTGCTCCTAGCCTAGAAAGGGAAAATTGATGAGTTTCCCAGTCCCCCTTCAGGGGAGGCAGTGGTATTCAGACCCCTGTCCTCCAGATGCCAATGAGAGGTACATGAAACACAGTGGACTCTTAAGGGCATGGACTCAAGCCAGGCTCTACCACCCACAAGTGTGTGACCTTGGGCAAGTGACTCTGCTCCTCTGGACTGCAGTTTCACTATATGTAAATTTGGAATGAAAGCTGTACCCATCTCATAGGGTATATGCACCACGAGGATTAAGTGAGTCAGATGGGTCAAGTGCTGGAGAGCCGTCACACAGGAAACACTGTAGAAGAGATAGCTGCTGTTACCGTCAGCAGAGGGAATGGGAGCTTGGTTTGTCAATAAAGGAGAGACTTACTTCCTGATGGGCTGTTAGGGAGTTGAGGGAGGCATCCTTACCTTTGGGTTGGCCCTAACTCAGAGAGAAAGGTAGAAAGGTGCTTTAGGGTCTTGGCTACACTGGGAGGAAGAGTGTGGGCCATCACACCCCATGGGGGGACAGGCAGATTTATTAGACCAGGTGGCCCCGTTTGCTTCTCAGAGGAAAAGAGGGAGAAGCTCTAAATGTGGTCTGTCCTTCCCCTCCCACCCTGCTCTGTTCCTTGGCTTCTGTCTCTCTATTCAAGGATCACTGGGCTTTTCTTTAGAAACTGTGAGTTTAGGTTGTCTTTGAGGGAATGAAGGAGGGTTCTGCTTAAGAGGAGCCATTTGTGTCACTTTGTACAAATCCTTTACTCTCTGGGTCTCGTTCTCTGCCCTCCCCGGAGGTCTGATAAAGAGCTTTCACTGGGGCTTGGGAAGCTGGCCCTCACAGGGTAAGAACCCAGTGGAGGCCTTGGCCTGCTCACTCCTGCTCCTCCTTTCCCAGGATGCTCTGCGCAACTCCGGGGGCGATGGGCTGGGGCAGATGTCCCTGGAGTTCTACCAGAAGAAGAAGTCTCGCTGGCCTTTCTCCGATGAGTGCATCCCCTGGGAGGTATGGACAGTCAAGGTGCATGTGGTGGCCCTGGCCACAGAGCAGGAGCGGCAGATATGCCGGGAGAAGGTGGGGGAGAAGCTCTGCGAGAAGATCATCAACATTGTGGAGGTGATGAACCGGCATGAGTACCTGCCCAAGATGCCCACGCAGTCAGAGGTGGACAACGTGTTCGACACGGGCTTGCGGGACGTGCAGCCCTACCTCTATAAGATTTCCTTCCAGATCACTGACGCCCTGGGCTCCTCCGTCACCACCACCATGCGCAGGCTCATTAAAGACACCCTGGCCCTCTAGGTCTCTCCAGGGCCTTGGTGCTCCTTGATGGCTTACGGACCTTGGCTTCTGGGGAAGTACTGTTAGGCCCTTGGGGCTCTGGAACCCGCTTCGGGTCCTTGATGAGACTGGGAAGGGCCGCCCTGGCTTCCTCGTGCTGTGGATGCCAGTCTGTGGTCGTCCTTGTCACCTTCACTGATGGTCAGGTCTGGCCTGCACTGTCTCTCCATACTCCTGGTTTCGGGGGGGTTTCCCCTTTCCTACATTGTACAGAGGAGCCATCACTAGGATGGTGAATAAAGCTGAGAGTGTAAGTTTGGGTTGAGTCTCTCCCTTGACTGGTATTACGCCCTGAAACATTTTAACACTTTCTGGCAGAACTTCAAGGAACACGTGAGTGTGCTGAGGGCATTATTCCAAGATGGGGGTGCATGATGTGATTGAAGATAGATTAAAGCTGATCGATCTCGTACTTTGTTGGACATTCACATAAGCAAGTGTGACCACAGTCAGTCCCATAAATGATGACACAGATCAGGATCTGCTGCTTCTGGATATTGCTGTGCTATTGCTCCTCCCTTCCTAAGGAAGCTATAACCTGCCTTTTATATTATCTGCTGCTGCTAAGTCGCTTCAGTCGTGTCTGACTCTGTGCGACCCCATAGACAGAAGCGCACCAGGCTCCTCCGTCCCTGGGATTTATATTATCAGATGACCCTAAAGACTATCTCCTCTGTCTCCGTAGAGCACACACAGGGCCCCACTTGCACAGAAAGCTCATTTGACTTGGTGTCTTCTCCCTCTGGAGAGAGATTGGCCACCTTGAGACTGGTGACCTGGGACGCTTTTGGTTTGGGCGACATGGGCTTCCCTGGTGGCTCAGACAGTAAAAAATCTGCCTGCAATGCAGGAGACCTGGGTTCGATCCCTGGTTTGGGAAGATCCCCTGGAGAAGGACTGACAACCCACTCTAGCATTCTTGCCTGGAGAGTCCGTGGACAGAGGAGCCTGGTGGGCTCCTTTGGGCTACAGTCCATGGGGTCACAAAGAGTCAGACATGACTGAGCAACTAACAGTTTCACGTTGGTATCTCACATCCATTTCTAGGCAAACATTGTCAAGATCAGTGTGCTTTTCATTGATTTATTCCATATTTTACAATGCTTTTTGTTACACAGGGGCAAGCTCTAACCAAACTAAATGAACAGTGTGCAAGCAAGCAGCAGTGCTAAAGGAGAAATGGCCAAGGTCTGGGGGTCTTGTCCATGGTCCTGGAGCAGATAGGTGCCAGGATGGCCAGGAAGGGTTAGCACATTTTTCTCATTTCAGGCCACTTTTCAGCCATGTGTAATTTCATGAAGGGTTTTGTGATGTCCTACCCTTGGCCTCTGGGGCACTGGTGAATTGGAGAACTCAAGAGGTTCTCAGTGGTTTGGAGATGGGGAAGGCCCATTGTCAGCAACTCCTTAATGAGATGTGATCCTACCTGACTCGCTGCAGTCTGGGGGGCCTTTTTCTCCTTAGACCAGCTCATTTCCTCTGAGGAGTTGGCTGATTCAGCTGTTCACTAACAGTGACTTTGTTTTAAACAGGGCTCAGGATTGCTACAGGAGTTTTCAGGAGACCTGGGCAGGAGGGTCTTTCCTCCATCCCAGCTTCCCCAGACTTTGTTCTTTTCTGCAGCCAGGCTCTGCTCCAGACTCTCACCCTGGCTTGGCTGTGGGACACCCAGTTGGCAGGCAGGCTCCCTTTAGTGGGCAGTTCAATAGCATCTCTATCCCCTTTGGCACTGTGACTTCCCAGGGGTAGGGGACTGGTTTATTCAAGGTCAGGACAGGAGCCCTGGTGACTCAGATCTTTCCCCTTGATCTGTAATTCTCCTTGACCTTGGGCCTGAGCAGAGGAATGGGGGCAGGCCTTAAATTCCTCCTCCCTTCCATCTCACCTGGGACCAGGGTGGGTACTGGCCCGCTTATCCAACCCCAGGAAGCTCCCGAGGGGGTGATGAAGGCTATGCATCACTAAGGTTGTAGACATTGCTCATTTGCCTGCTGTCCCAGTGGCACCTAGGTAGTTGGTGGTTTTTAGTGGCTAAGTTGTGTCTGACTCTTGTGAGCCCATGGACTTAGCCTGCCAGGTTCCTCTGTCCATGGGATTTCCCAGACAAGAATATTGGAGTGGTTAGCCAGTTCCTTTTTCAGGGGATCTTCTGACCCAGGGATCAAACCCACATCTGCATTGGCGGACAGATTATTTCCCTCTGAGCCACCAGGGAAGCCCAAGCATCATTTAACTTCGGCCCAGGGACAGAAAGCCTAGGAGCACTGTGTCTTCCTCAGTGGGGGCAGCACCGTGGCCAGCACCTGAAATGTGGTCTAGAATGGCTTAAGGGTTCTGAGAGAGGGCTATCTCCTGACCTTTTCTAAGGGGGTGGTGGAGGGAGAGCCCTGGGGACAGGACTCCTGGCTTTGTCTGGTTGGGTGCATGGGCCGGTTCACATGAGTGGGCGTGTGGGCCTTTGGGCTGAGAAGTATACACCGGCCCCCCGGGATTCTGGGCGGTAGCTACGAGCCCTTTGTCTAGAAAGAGCCTCCTAGCTCTGCGCCAGGGGTGGGGGCGCACGGCGTCTGGGATCCGCCCCTTGGGCCCCTCCCCGACGCAGCCGCCGCCCACCCGCCGGCCTTGGGCTCCGCACATCTGGCGGTCCTCAGCGCATCTGGGCAGCCGGCGCTGAAGCATGAACAGCTCGCAGGCGGACTCCACAGCCCGGGGCGCCTGGCAGAGCTCCTGCTGCAATCAGTCGGGGGCGCCGCCGGAGCCCCCCGAGGGGCCGCGCGCCGTGCAGGCGGCGGTGCTGGGCGTGCTGTCGCTGCTCGTGGTCTGCGGGGTCCTCTTCCTGGGCGCCGGCCTCCTGCTCCGCGCCCAGGGTTTAACGGCGCTGCTGGCCCGAGAGCTGCGCTCGTCCCGGGAGGGCGACCCCGGCGGCGCCAGCGTCGATGACGACGACGACTCCTAGGCGCCCGGCTGCGTTCGGGGGTCGCGGCCTCCCGGCGGTCCGTGGACTCCACGCCAGACTTTGAGGGAGCGGCCCCCCAGCACCCGACGTCTGCAGCGGGGAGCCTGCCGCGATGTTGGCGCGCTCGCACAGGTGACAGATGCAGCCATCCCAGGCCCCGGCTTCTTCTTTCTCCCCTCCTCTCCTTCCCGAAGCCTTTCCCCGCAGAGGAGATTCGAGTAAAATTCCTCACTGTGGCCTCCCTCTCGAGGTAGGGATGGGGGTGTGGGTTGAGTCTTAGGGCAGAACCAGGGGCCTGGATGACCCTGGGGGATGGAGAAGTGTGCTGCCCACCCCCCTCGGGTTGGGGGGAATGCACGTGGCCCGGAGCAAGCAGCTTTGGGGTGTGCTTGTGGGGGAAGGTGACAAGGTTCCTAACAGCCGGGGGGCCTCAGAAGCACGTTGCTCCAGGAGGCTGGAGCTGAGGGTTCCCAGCTGTAGGGGCTCCATCTGGCCCTCCTGCCACTCCCTCCCCAAGGACGGGAGCCATCTGGAGGGAAGGGCCTGGGTGGCCTAAACACAAGGTAATTCTAGGCCAAGGCTGTCTCTGGCCGAGCCACAGGGGCCAGCGAGGGAAGCCTTCCCTGCCCGTCTCTATTTCGCGTCGCACCTAGGGGCTCCTGGGTTTTTGTGGGTGCGGCTGTTCTCTGGAGGTGCCTCTGATCTCTCTTGGCCCTTCCACTGTAGAGCCCCTCTCCTGGCCTGCCAAGGCAGAGGCAGCGTCCTGGCTGGCCCCTGAGAGGGGAGGGCGGCGTGTGTGAGGAGGGGCCGCTGGGGGTGAGGGGCCTGAGTGGGCAACGTGCAGCTAAGCAGCTGTGAAGGCGACGACGTGTGATCCCTCTGCAGAGGAGCCCAGGATGTGGTGTTAATCCCAGGCAGCTGTGCCGCGCTGGACTTGCTGAGCTGTGGACTTCTCACCTCAGGCACGCCGCCCCCACCCCTTGGAGAGAGGGCTGGCCAGGGCAGTGAGGGGTGTGTGTGACTGCTCCTGGCCCACGGGCAGCGGGGCTAGGCCCAGGGACATTCCCCACAGCCCTTTGCTGTGTCCTGGGGGAGGGGCTGGAGCTCCTTCTCTTTACTGTATTCTGTTCACCTGCCCCCTTGCCCACAACATTCTGCTGTGTTTCCCTCCTGTCTCCCATCTCCAGCCTGTGCACTTTCCTCCTTCTCCAGCTGGGCCAGAGTCTCCATATCTGCGGTGAGGCCTTCATTTTACAAATGGGAAAGCTCAGAGGGAAGAAAGTGACCTGCTCGAGTGAATGACAGAGCCGAAACTGCACCCTGGGGCTCCTGATTGATTTTGAGCTCGGGGGTGGGGGTGGTATCCCTGAGTGAGGACCCTTTGGGTTGCCCCTTTTGCTCTGTTCTCTCATTCCCTGATTTCTCACCCCTCTTTGAGATGCTGATGCAAAATATGGCCTCTCTCCCTAAAAGAATGAACCTTCACCCCACACATTTGGCATATGGTTTCTGGGACTGGCACCCCAACTCCCCTCTCCTCCTGGTGTCCTCTCTCCCATCCCTGCTCCCCAGCAGCCTTGCTGGATACCTTCTTGCTGCTGCGAATGGCCTCCCAGGTGCCACAATAACTCCCAGGCATCTGGGCTCAGCTTTTCTGGCCTGAACACGAGGGTGGGGTGAGCTCAGAGGGTCAGCTGGAATATACATCTATGGAAATCCAAGTGGACAGGGCAGAGGGACCAGAGGTCAAGATGATGACTTGGATTGGCTTTGGGGTTCAAGTCTGGGTGGTGTTAGGGGTGTAGGGAGATATGATGGCAGGAAAGACTGTGTCCCCAGCGTCGTGGTGTCTGCTCACACCCAGGCAGGGCTGGGGACGGTGTGGTGGGGTGAAGAAGAGGGGGTAAGCAAAGACTTTCTTCATCCAACTTCCTGTCTTTGCTGTTCCTTTAGCTCAGTGCCTGGGAAGCTGGCCCATGGTGTGTGCTGTGGAGGACCTCAGTGTTCCTGGAGGAAGATCCTGAGACGTTTGCTAAGAAACTCTGACCCTGGTCAAGGCTGTCAGACTGAGTGGGGAAGGAAAGAATTCAGAAAATTGGGAAATGGGTGCTGTTGTTACACCATCTGTCAGGCTCAGGTTAGGAGTGGCAGGGGTGATGACTGCAGGTCAGTGTGCCGTGGAGTGAGGCCAGGCATTTGGATCCCAACAAGCTCCATTAGCCTGCACTGTCCTTGATGGAAAGGCTGGATCCACACATGCGTGAACATACATCTTGGCTTACTCTTCCTCTAAACCCTGAGTCT